AATGTGAACTTACATTACAAGCAATTAAATAAATTGCTAATAATCATTGTATTAAAAATGGTGAATCAAGTCTCGCAGTAGGGACGCGAACCAAGATCTTTCGCCATATCCATTCTTCAGATTCTTATCTGTTCGTATCTTCATCGGATAAAGCAATCATTTCATTCCAAAGATCACAAACTGTTGCTGCCTGTAGGCAAGCTAGATGAGAAATAATAACAACTCATATAACGTAAGTTATGGAATAATGTCAAATATTTTGATTTTGTATTTGTCCGAAAATATGATAAGCATTTATGATTTCAATTAATTGATATATTTTTCTTTTATAATTGTTAAGGAACAATTGTATCGCTTTTGAAAAAGCCCTTATTGCATCTCCACACCCTACACCACTTGTGGTGTAGCGTATATTAAGTGTATGCGAATGCACATAATACCCATAACAACTAAATACGGACCCATCTTTTATTATACCAATCGATTCAAAAAACGATTCTAAGATCTAGCTTGCCTATCTGTCTGTCCATACGTCTGAGGTGTGTCTATATATTTTTACGTTCAGCCTAAAAGTCACAATTTTTGAGATATTTTGACAAAATTTGGCACTCGGATTGAGATCGGACAACTTTCTCTCATACAAAGCTTTATTCTGAAAACTCGTTATATAAAATAAAATGCAATTTTCGCTGAGTAACATTATTTCGGTATTCTAACGAAAATTGAATCCTCATTTGATAGAAACGCCTAATTTTTAATACTTCTATGATAATAATCTGTCATAGAAACTAGACTTATCGAGTTTTCACCATATGTTCCTATTTTGGACCATACCTCACATGAGAGTTCCCATGCAAATCGGCAAGAAATAAAAGGCGTGTTAAATTTATCAAGACTTGCATTAATTTTCTTTTTCGCACGCAACGTGTTTGGGATCGGATTACAACTATTTCCAACGTTTGCTCTTTTATCTCAATTTTCACGGTAGTTAGCATGAATGAAAACACAAACTGACCCACTCCTCAGTAGCAAGTATAAAAAGGAATAAATTAAATTATTGTTCGACAAGTTGCTTTAAAGACCTTATACTAGCATAAAAAATAAGTCGGCAATCGTATTAACAGTTCTTAGATAGCTGCCGCCTTTTTACAATCCAACAATTTTTGAAAACAATTTCAGATCCTAGCTCGCCATTGTAGGAACAACGAACCACACTTTTATTTGTCTGGAATATTCTTTTATTTTTCTTTCTCTCGTTTCCTTGTCTTTTTTTATTAGTTTACCTTGCTTTGGTTAGCAACAAAACAGAAAGAAAAACATTTTTTTTATTTATTTTTAAATTATCAATCACTCAGAGGATGTCCCCTATTCGGTCGGTAAAAGAAGAGGGAGAATGATATATAGGAAGGTGACCGCAGCCTGGTGGCTCTTTATAAATAGTAAGTGTTACGCCTGAGCTCAGGAAAATCTACCGCAAATAGTTAGGCCAGCTTACGTTTTTCTGGAAATAGAAAAGAAAGCAAAAAAAAAATACAAATAAATAATAAAAAAAAAAAAAAAAAAAACGACAGAATTTTGCCGCCAACTTAATACTTAAATGTTTCTAAGTATGTGTTCATAAGAAATGAAAAAAAAAAATATTTTTTTTTTGTTTTCTTATAAATTGCATTGTGAACAAAATTTGTTGTAGGCACTGAATGACTAAAGATTAAATAAATAAGTAAGAAATCAAGCGCACGCTATTCACAATTACTAATGCGCAGATAGTCAACCAGTCGGTCAGTGCAATTGATGGCAAACACTTTAACCATTGCAATAATTATATCTGAACGTCGAGGTCGCCGAGATGCGTGAAATAATTGCGAGAAGTTCAATATACTCTTGACACTGCGAACAAAAAAAAAAAAGGTAACAATTCTCCTCTTGTTTTGATAGACAATCTTACTCACTGACCAATCGTACTTTTATTTGATTATAATATATTTAAATGTATTGCAAATAGTTCGTAGAATTCTTTTCGTTTTTTTATTCAACTCTCAGTCTCGTCTTACCAAAAGAACATTTATGGTTATGTGGGTCTGCGTTCATAGTTCCCAGACAAGCACGCTTTTCAAGTTTATTTGATATCAACTTTTCTAAGTTAAGTTAAGAAAAAAAAGCTCAATTTGGAAAATGCATGATCAAGGTCTTTGACATTCCATTATCGATTCAAATCTATGCTATTACAAGGTTAACATTTTGTTACACCCAACTCTTAAATTAATATGTATTCAAACATGTTAAATGTATTTTAAATCATTTAAAATATACAATATATTTTTATGTGTATATAAAACTCTTTCAAATCGATTCATATAATGGCACTGATTTCGATCTTTAGCATGTGCTTATGTGCTTAAGCATGTTTAGTCGAAGATTGAAACTAAGGATACAAAAAAAAAAAAAAATGTAGATCAAGGCCAATGCGATATAAAGTGTCTCCGAAAATAATATGCGATAATCGTCGTCGTTTCTCTCATGCGAATAAATGAATATATTACAAAAAAAAATAAAAATAATGATCATTTCGTGTTTACACTCTCCGTCAAACGATATACGTGCCATAGATATGCAACAATCAGAACAACATCGGATATATTACTATATATTATGAATTATTCTTGATCCCCATAAGATTTTGAATATATGAAGACCTTTGGCTCTGTAGGTCCGCTTACCCATCTTTTCTTGGGTGTAGGAAAATTTTAACTTTTCAAGTGAAATTCTGCAAAACCCCAGCTTGAGAACACTAAAGAGCTCAGTGTAGAGAATGACGCGCCTACAATAATTAAAATATCTTATAATTTTTTTGATACGGCTTTCAAGTAGATATGTTAAAATTAATACACACCTTAGGACGAATACAAGTTTCGTATTATTACTACTAAATTTCTTTAGAGATCTAGAAAATATTGATGGCATATCCATCGGCAGATGTAAAATTTGTTTACACAATAACCATGAGGCCTACTAATAGCCGAACTTGGTAACGCTTTATTTTGTAATCATGTCCAAGAGCACATATAAGTAAATCTGCCTCAAAATTTTCTACATGTTACGATGAATCTTCGAATTCTACGCGATTCGTAGTCGTCCATTCATGCCAGGGGCATTTTAGCAGATGCTCATGGAATTTCTTGATAGTTGCGTATTACCATTAACTAACACATATAAAGCGGAGTGTTGCATTATAACTGAGTTCATGATGAAAAGCAAGGGACATGCCCTTATCATCGAGTTAAGATAGATCCTCACCAACTGCCTTCACACTGATACCAAATAACTAATTTCCCCATTATGTACCGAGTTTTACATAATTCAGTCATTTTGCATTTGAGTCGGTGCTTTTAATACTTCGCAGCCAGTACACGCATGAAACCCTCTTTTATCCACCTTTTCCTCCAAAGTTAACAACTAGATGAATTACTTAAGAACCAAACATTATGGGCTATATAGTAATAGGTAAGCAAGAAAATTACTATAAGGTGAATCTACGTTTTTTAAAGCTGACGCTCTACAAAAAATTACATTGCATTAATTATAACCCATCAGCCTATTTTCCTACTACTGCTATGGACAATCTGAGACTAATCACTAATACACAAAGCCGAGTGTTGATACTATATATACATCCAGAAGATATAATTTAAAAGTGACTGAGCTAGCCAGCGATAAGTATATCCACCAGGTATGTAAATATGAAACCGGAATTTGTCCGCTAATACTATTGTCAAGCCATAGCGTTAGTTTTATTCTTTGCCATCAACAACATGAAGCTTTTCAACGCATATCAATACAGTTCTCGTACAAGAGTATAGTTTGCGACATACCGGTTAAGCATTCCGGCTTTAAAGTGATTTGCGGTTACAGTACAAAATTTCTGTTATCATTTTTTTGTAAGAAAATTCTTGCAGAATCGCATTAAATGCCCGATGAAGACTGAACTTGCTCTTGATAAATCATAATGCTTTGATTAGTTTAAAAACTTCAAAAATGACAATTTTGAGATGTGTGAATATTGCAAATGTTGTTACGTAAGAACTAAAATCTGAGAAACCGTACCTTAAAACTTTTCTTTATATTGAGTAAAAAAGAAAGAAAAAAATTGAAGACGCCTTAGATGCCTACGACGCCGAATAGAATGCTTTACTTGAGTGTCTAATAAATGATTCCATTTAGAATTTAGGATTGACATACTAAATTTTGCATACTACTATGATCTGAAATTTATATCCCATCATTGAGGTTGAAAAATACAATGGACGAATGTAATCTTAAGCAAGGAAAACTATTATTAATTTTTGTACAAAAAAAAAAAAAAAAAAAAATTCGGCAAAATTAAACCGTTTAAACGCGGGGTACATGAACTTGCCATTCCATGTCCACATGTTACGTAATCTAAAGTCTGTAGCAGATGGCTACGTGGTGAACGGTGGAGGTGGCGTAAATGATTGATTGCCACACCCACAGTGAAAAACTATTTGCGACAATAGGAAATGAAAATTCGTGTTAAAGCAAATAAATTTCTCTCACTTATATAATTTTATAAATTTATATTTGAATTTAATATTTTATTCAATTTCGAAATTTACGTTACAACATAACCTGTAATATACAAATATATATTAGCGACATAATATGAGGTTCTTAATAATGCCGTTAAACCGACCGGAATAGCTTTTCTAATTTTAACGACGTTCTCTCTTCATTTATTTAACACAATAAAATAAGAAGATATGATGCGAAGCGAGCCTGCGAGCCCTTCTCAAACAACATTTGTCGACACAAGCTATTATTATTCCATACGAAGAAAAATGAAATGAAAATGAAAAAAGCCATCATTTAAGAAACTGAAAATTTTATATAAAAAAAAAAAAATTTTCAAAGCTTTTTATATATATATATATGTATTATAAATAGTTTTACTTAATCTTTTGTATAAAATTTTCGTAAACTTTTAGTGCATGATTCCACTGGCAAGCTATCATCGGGCATACTGAACGGTAACATCAATCAACACGGTGATTTTGATGAATGCTTAAGCATTCGCAAGCGATTGAGTAGTAAAATTCCAAGCTTAAATGATCACGATACTGCTGATGAGGGGAATAATGACAATGAATATGACGAAATTAAAGGAAAATATTGTTTAGCGTATGCACAACCCATATTGCCACATAAATCGAAACGTTTGCAAACATTTTTCAAATTGGTGCAATCGCATGGACCATTTAAGAGTGAATTTAATGACGTAAGTACTTCGTGCCATGATATGATCTCAATCATATAATCATAATTAATAGTATTATAAGTAAAATTTTAAACGTATAAATTTTAAATATATATATATATATATATATATATATATATGCATGTACATATGCATACATGTGCATGTGTATTTTTGTTCAAAAAATATGGGGAATTTTTTTTTTTTTTTATTATTTTATAAATACTTGGCACGCGAACTCGTTAATGTATGTAAACTTGATGCATATGCTATCATGTGCCATTTAATTGAAGTTATTATGTTATTTGGGTTCATTACTTTAAGAGTTGAGCGCGTTTGATAATTGTGGGCAAATATTGCCAACGAATTTTCCTTATTTCGTTTTCAGCTCAATTTTTTTTGGTTTTATTTATTTTTTTGTTTTTTGGTTAACTGTTAAAGCGCTTCTGGTTCGTAAGCATAAATTCATCTGTCGTTATCAACGGTAATCCGGAATTGTCAATACTCGCCCAAAAATCACATTTTGACGATCGGGACACAATGATGATCTTAAAACGGTTTGAATTGCTCTACAAAATGACAAACGAAACGGAACATCATTCAAAATTGATTGAATTGTTGCAATTCCAATAGCGCCTGCAAGGTTACTAACACACAATCGAAGATATTTGAATGCAATATTTTTGAATTGATTCACATTTTCATCTAGCAGTTAAGATTAATCGTCTTGGCGACTGTTCCCAACCTCTCTACTACGTTAAAAATAAATTTTTCTCGATTGTGTCATCGTGCCATCATCATAACACTTCCAAAGGCAGCTGGTCAAGCAATTTCGTTTTCTAAACAGAATTTTTATAAGGAAAACGTTTTGCTCAACATATTCGTTCGAAAATTTCGAAAATTTATATGTAAAATTTCAAATTGATTTCTATTTTAAGTTAGTCTCTAAAACATGATTTTCCGAAAAATGGTCCCGTGTTAAAGTTTTTCAGTTTCCTTTAAACCCTTCGAGATTCCTGAGATTTATTTTTAAATTTGATTTAAGACTTTCAATCTAGATTATAACTGCCAAGTTTATCTGTTAGTAACGTTGAGTGACAATCAAACTGTCTTTGCAGATGCAAATACGTGCAGGAAGAAGTGTAGACGACTAGGCGTACAATCAGATGCGCAATCGTGTTAATACACGCGCAGATAGATGGGCGCGAAAATGAGCTGACAACTCAAATTCTTAATTGATTTAAACAATTTTACATAATTTCATTAAGAAACAACTATTCTGCTCAAACTGAGCCATACATATGTGTGATGAACTGATTTCTTTTCTGTATGTCTCAGTAGCAAGAATGATTTTTCTTAGGGGATTGCAGCGCTTAGTATCGTATTTGATGAAGAATAACAGTTAGTTAAAGGCGAGAGGAATTAAAACTGCAAAGTCGGTAGTTTGCAATTCTTCTGGTCATTGCATAGAAATGCAATGAACAATCACTAAATGGCAGAGTGAATATAGTTCACGAAATAATTGGTTATATTCTTCTATATCAGCATGATATAGTCAGAAACACCTTTTTGCATAATGTTCCGTGAATACGTAGCCGGGAAATCACGTCATCTTTGCTTGCGTCGCACTGTTCAAGCGAACGATACTTTTCTCAAATTTCCCTAATTTAGTTATTTTACGGCATCTTAAGCAAGATTTATTTAAATTAGTATCATCGACTTCCCACAAACGTCGACACAGAGTCGATTATCTGAACTCATCGTACGTATTTTGAGTGACCTACATGTTTTGATGAATCCAAAAACCGATCAATCAATGCGAAAAGACGAAAAAAATATAAGCACACTCCTGGAATACCCATAGACGTACTCAAACCCCGTCAAACCAACGGTATGCTGCGGGTTACATGTACTAGGGGTAAGATATTTTCTCTTTAAAATTAAAATTTTAAAACTTTAAACGCGCTTTTCTCGAAACCATCTTTCTCGAAATTCCCGTGCCGATGGCTCCTTGAATTTCTCGTGGGATCTTTTCAATAGATTAAACTTTCAAAAACATATCTTTTTTTTTTTTTTTGGTGTACTGTAAGATATATGAACCATGTATAAAAATCCAACTATTAATAAAACTTTTTTTTTAGGTAATTAAACAACCAAAAATGCCCTAATATTAAATGATACAGGGCGATAATAAGCCTTAAGTAAGATTTAAATAACAATAATGCATCAACAGTAATACCAAGATTGTAGTAAAAGCACCCTTTGTTTGTTTAAAGTGTTCGTAGAAAATGTAAACCGTTATAGGCCAAAAAGGCCTATGTGTTAATGTTTTATGATGAGAGTTTGTTCATGATAGTAATTTGGCAAAGGGTAAGAGAATCTTTGTCAATCGTGTAAGCGCATTTTTATCCAAGTTACATATATATATACTGGAAACGTTAGATCCCACAAAGGTAAAAATCTTTTTGATTTTTTACTTATAATTGTAGATGCACACTCTACCTTCATATGGTTATGGAAGAAAAAAAATTTTTTATTTTGTTTTTTTGCTGACAATGTTCGCTATTCATATAAACGCCAATTAACGGGTTAAAGATTTTAATAAACATAGACTTGAAAAGCTACGGCATACGAAATACTGGAAAGTATTGCAAAAATTATGGCAACTCTGGCGCATTTGGAAGCAAAATTTGTTCGCGATGATAAAATTTATATAAAATAAAAGAATTTATTAAAAGTATATTAACAAAATTTAACGTAAAGAAAAAATTTTACTAAATTTAAGTGTTTCGCGGAAAAACTACAAGTCAGTGAAGTGCAACTGAACTAAAATTATTCGTTGGCAAAGAAAGGAACAGAAAAGGAGGAATAGAAAGAGGAAGAAGATGAAAAAAAAGACAAGAAAGCAGCTATATTACGCCCAAAAACGATTGTGATAACAGTAAAAAATGCAGACAATGTGCGTTAGGGCTCCGCGCGTTAATTAGCAATAATTATTTGATTCAATTTACAATACAAAAACGTGCACATAATCCATCTATGCTAATAAATAGACAACAAATTGTGCTGCCAGTGAATTTTCTATCCAACTGCAACTGGCAACCCATGAAATCGACAAGAGTATGGATCCCAAATTTGAAGGAAGTAGAAAAAACATGAAATATTACTTGGAGGAGAACTTTTTTTTAAAATTCTTGAGGACTTTTCTGGTAAAATTAAAATCATAAAATCAGGGCCGAATCAATGCCAGGAAATCGTCGAACAAATAAACAAAAAGAATAATGTGCAAAAGTCACAGAGGTACTAAGAATTCTCGTAACTACTCAACTTGAACCTTTCCAACTTTCTTGTTGCTGCCATCACAATACTGCTCTTTAGCTTGATAGACTAATCTGCAGAAATGTGTCGAATATTGAGCCAGAGATGCTACCGATTTCTATATTCTGTGTAATATGTCTATGACACTCTGCTTCTTTACCTAGAATCAGTGCCCTCTTTGGTAAAATGCTACTATATGGAATAATTTTTAAGATTTGTATTGTTTTTTTCTTTTCTTTAAAATTTTCTCCTTTTTTCTTTCTTTCGAGAAATAAAATTGTATCGAAAAATAATATTACTTCGACTAGTTGTAAACTTTGATTTGTTAAAGCGGCTTCAATATATGACACACAAATATGTCATCCGTTAACTTCAATCTGGGTCCAGCTGTCGGCGATGACATCTTTGAATCGATGGTTGGTGATATTTTTGAGAAACATAATAACCTAATTGTAGTGGAAGACTTCAATTATGACTAAGAGTATGCTCTTTATGTAATCGATTAAATATTTCTCTACGACACCTATACTATTGCTACCAATACATTTTCGGGTGCGTAATAGTACAACACCCCTTTTGGATTATTTCCTTATATCTGATAAATCTACTTTGTGTACTACAAGTCGATTTCAACGTCCGTTATCGTTCCACCATGCATTTATATGTGTGCTTCATTTGAATTGCCCTGTTCAATGTTTAAATAGAATCTCGAGGGAGTATATTCAATACCGGAATTACTTATTGGTGCACAATCGTGATTTGGCTGCTTATGTACTTGAGAAAGATTTCAAGCCTTTTTATAATAGTAATGACGTAAACTGGCAAAATCTCATACCGGAAAATTTGATAACCAAGTTGTTTTCTCTAATTCCCTTGTCTCGATTTAAAATTAAACGGAAATCGACGGGGTCGATAAAATCCTCAGATATACTATGTGCCTGATCTCTTAGGGACATAGCATGTAAAGTTTACATTCAAGACGCGACTTCTCATAAATGATGTGTGTTTTGCAGGTATGGGAAACAAACTATACGGAAAATGAAGAGAAGTCACTTGAGTGAAATATTCAATAATGATGACCCCAAGCGTATGTTAAATCAATTGAGAATAGCTAGAAATAGTGACTCAATCAATGGGAAATGTCAAATTACATGTTGACCACATAAATAACTATTTTTTGGATGATTTGAACTTTAGCCCTGATAACATATGTGAATATTCGCCCTTTGTGACATCCCATAACACATTCTCCTTTACACATATTGACGATTATGAGCTTCGCAACGCATTTCGTAACATTAAATCAAACGCCCGCGATACTGACGGAATATTAAATCTATTTAATAACATTATAACAACCTCTATTTTGCTTTCCGCGAGTCGATAGCTCCACGAGGCAGGTCAAGTGTCATAATTCTGTTTATGGTTTTTTTCTTTCTCTGAAATTTTGTTTCTTGGAAAATCGAGTAGTTTTCATAAAAAGTTGAATCATTAAACAAGAAGTTTTCGTAACAACAATATTTTTCTTGATGTTTTCCAGCCGGGCCATCGTGTACCGAGATATTCCTTAATAAATTGGGGTATATGTATGCCCTCCTCTTGCGCACCTCAAGACGTAGAATATGCTGTTAGAGAATTCCTTAACAACATAACCGTTTCGACTGGTATCACTTTTAATGTACGTGTAGAACCACAGATGTGCACCTCTAACGAAAGCAAAGCCTGGGATCGCAACACAACATGGGCTGTGTAAGTTCGCGAGCTCTTAATAATAGATGAGATAAATTTTCCATTTGATTTTCCATTTTTCTAGACGTTTCTTTATAACAATCGTTTCCATATCCATATTATCGACCATTTACAATCGTTGTACTCAAAATAATGCAAACGAAAAGCAAAGTAAGGGAAATTTTGCGGGCTAACGACAGTGTATTCATTGCTTATGTATGCAAATTTATGCATATTTATATTTATAGATGAATGGTTGACCGTGTTTGCTTTGGATAAAAACTGGAAATGGATTTTTGACATAAAGTATACGAATGATGATGTGCGCACCGTTCACGGTATACGCTTTCTCAATGCTGTCATGTTATTGTTATCCCATAAATCTATGGCCATGTTTTTCAATCCCTACAATAATCGCACAGAAATGTCTGAGGTTTGTACTAAATTTATTTGAATAAATAAAAAAATAAGTAAAAATATTATTTTTCTTTTCGAATATTGCAGAGTTTGGGTCGCCCATGGACGGTAATTGGCCGTGCTGCCTCCCTATATACGGATCCTTTTCTCTTAGTTAGCGGCATGTTAACAGCGTATTCCTTATTTGGTCGTTTGAAAAAGGGTCAACCAGTGCGCTTGATAAATGAATATATCAGCCGCTTGATACGGTATTATTTAAAATTAATCAACTTCTTTTTTTTTTTTTATTATTATTATTATTATTATTATTATTATTATTATTATTAAAGAGTTCTACTGGTCTTTAAATACGGTAAACCATCAACAATATAAAACAATTCGTCAGCCAGCTTCGTCAAAAACTAAATTTTGATGCCATATAAAGGCATGCTTTTCATTTGAAGTCTTATCATGACTTATTAAGAATTAGAGCTGGAAGCCATGTGAAACCTTATTTCCAGTATGAACGTTTCTATTCAAGAAGATTCAAAAATTCTTCGCATTCCATCCAATTTTCCCACGTTCATTGCACTATTTTTCGTATAATGATTTTTTCGTAATAAAACTTTTTATGAGGAATTGTCGTGAATTGTTGCATTCTCAACAACGTTCGGACAGTGCGTACTGTGCCAAAGCACAGTAGTATACCAAATATCACAGAAACGTTTCGAGAATTAAGGCCTACGCGTTGAACATAAAATTTCGGAAACGGAAATTTCTGATAAACAGACAGACTAAAAGACGCTCGGAAAAGGCTTAAATCGAGTAAAACAAATTATTTTGAATTGACTGTGGTGTTTAGGTGTAGTAAAAGAAAACCTCTATCTAAAGTTATTCAAGGTATAGCAAGCATGCCAAGAAAAAGTTTGGGTAGGATACAAACTTTCATACGATATTGGTCATCTGTGGTTGAATTGTGTACTTTTGTTGTTTTGCTTTTCTAGCAGAAGATGCAATAGTCTTAATATTTAGCTCAGTTCATTTATCCAGTTTATAGCAAACTTGATTAATAATCGCAAAATGGTTTTCTCTTTTCTAGCATTGTACCACCTTTGGCTGCTTTAATATTATTTTGCACTTATGTTTTGCCTATAGTCGATTCTGGTCCTCAATGGAATCTTGTGGTTGGACACCATGCCACCATTTGCAAACAACACTGGTGGCGTAATTTGCTTTTCATTCATAATTACTTTGGCTTTAGTGAAATGTGCCTGACGCATACACATCATTTGGGTATCGATACTGAACTGTTTGCGGTGGCACCCATTATTATATTGTTACTGTGGAAATGGCCCAGGAATGGTTTCATTGCTTTGTTAACATTATGTGGCCTTGGTACTGCAGCTCGTTATTATACGACAGTAGTTAATGAATTATCCAATTATATCTACTTTGGCACGAAGTAAGTCATCTATCTATTCGATCGATCTTGTTGGACGCCTAAATTATATTCTATCACATTTAGCATCACACGTTTATTTCGCACTGCTGATTATATGTATTCCTTTCCACCTATGCGTTCTACGGTTTATATAATGGGTATCTTCTTGGGCTATATACTACGTATGTATCCCAAAGTAACGCTAAGCAATATTCAATTACGCTTGGGATGGTTTGCTGCTTTGGCATGTGTAGTGGCATCAGTATTAGGTCCTGCTCCTATGGGCGATATCAATTATAAATATAATAGCACGCACGCAGCCATTTATGCGGCATTTGCTCCCATCGCGTGGTGCCTATTTTTTTGCTGGATTGTGTTTGTTTCCCACAATGGTTATAAGAGTAAGTAACAATACTTTTTATTATCACTAGATCTCGGTGCTCTATATTCACCGATTTTTCTATTCTTTTTTTTCTTTGCAGATCGCATCACAAGATTTTTCTCTTGGAGATATTATCAAATCTCTACGAAACTATCGTATGCCATATACTTAACACAATTCCCTATATATTTCTATAATGTGGGTCGTCGACGACATGCTCATCATTATTATAATTTCATATCAGCGATTGTAAGTTATATATAATATCTAATAAATAAAGCTCAATTAAATAATCGTTGAACGTAACTTTATTCATTTATTCTCTTTCTATTATCCAACAGTGTGATACCAATGAATATTTATGCATTTTTGCAGCCTCCATTATCTTAACATTATTATTTGATGCACCTTTTCAAAATATGAAAAAATTATTATTAAAACGCTCAAGGGCCACTACCGGTAAAGACAACAGCAGTAACGAGAGCAATCTAAATAGCGAAACTTTAGCAGACATCAAATTAACAAAATCTTTATTACATTCGCATGGTGATTAATTAATTAATCAAAATTTATTTTTATTATTATTTTATTATTATTATTTTATTTTTTTTTTTTTTGCATTTGTTAAATGCTGTATAGTCTCACGTTTAGTTTTAAATTTAATTTATAATTATTTAGTTATTTCTTTAAAAAAACAAAAAGCACGCAAAAGATAAAACGACTGCTTTAATAACATACACTTGATTATTTTACTTAATTTAAAGACATTTACAATTATTGGTGTGTATTTAACGTTGTATATTTACTTCGTCTTCCTTTGAAACTGTTCGTTAATTTATTAAGGGTTTAATTTTTCTAAATATGTACACAAAAATAATAAATAAATAAAAGAATTTATTTGAAAATGTTTCTTAATGATGAAATTAGTAACAAAACGATAAAAATTTTATCTGAAAATAAAACTCAAATTATTGTTATTATTAAAATTAATTTAGCCAGAGAAAAAAATCAAAAGGTAAAAAAATGTTAAGACACTAATGACGTTTTTGCAGAAATTAAGGATTTTTGTTGGACTGCATTTCATAGTTTAACATCTCTGTTTTACTGTAACATATGGCTCTAATAATAAACCAACAAAACGAACGAGACCGCGGGTGCCAAATGTAGCTACTCAAGCAGGCCATAAAGTATATGGTACGTTATTGTTTAAAATTTTATTGACTATAGCATCTGAGAACAAGAAACCTACACCAAAAAATAAGAAGAACTAGAAACCTACACCAAGAAATAAGAAAAACAAGAAACCTACTGAAAGCTTTCTACCTACGACCAAATTAAACACATATTAAAACGTAATCATATAGCTATACCTAGAGTCCTCCAAAACACGATAGCAATAAATGCATGCAAGTGAAATATTTTTGAGGTACTCTTAAATCATTATTATTGGGAACTTTAGCAGTGATTTGTTTAAGGTAACTAAAGCTTATCTGGTCAAATCTCTTTGCTTGAGATGCGATGCATCATTATTTCATAACCCAACTCATTTTGATGTAGCTTATACAACCACTTCATTGTTTGATTTCCGGCTGGTAAGTGATTGTACATTGCTTCACCATTGCGATTAGGTGCAATTCCCTTCCATATCAACCAAGTACTTTGGTTCAGGTGCTTTTCTCTTTTGTCCCGCTTGCGAAAAGGAAAATCCCAAATGGTATTAATGATTGGGTGAAAACAACGGGTATCCGACAAGCAACGATGGTGAGAGGTCAGGCCAATTCAACTTTTCGATCCTCTGGTAGTGACGTTAGTTGGAGATCATATCGCCGTTATCGGAATAAAGCTGAAAAGATCATTCGGAAGAAAAGAAGGAACTACTTTATTAACTTACTTCCTGGGATTGATCGTTCAACTATGCGGAGAGTATGGAAGAATTATCGTTACTGTAAGGTGAACGATCAGCTATGTAATCTTAATGCTGTGCAGCCTGTTATACCTGACGATTGTGGCCCTTCTATATCGGAGATATTACATGTGCTTTTTTCATTTGTATCCATGACTGATCGGATATACTTGTTGCCTCGTACAAAATTTATTCAAGTTCCATTGGTAATGATGAAATCCCCATCTTCTTCATCAAGCTTATTTTCCCATATATTTCTCTTCTATTGATTTTTCATATTAACTCTATCCTGACTCAATCTACTTTTCCTGTTTCTTGGAAGACTGTACATATTGTGTCCATGGTCGTGTGTGTCTAAGGTCAAAATAGTGAATGCCTTACATGATTTGAGGCCCATATTTTCCTATATAAATCTTGCGAAAAAAAAACTCAGAAAAGTTAAACGGATAAAGGCAATGAATAAGTAATTTCTTTAAAAGGTAAATATAGTAAAAGTAGGTAAACATTTTTCTCTTTTTTAAATTTGACTTTTTCTCTTGTTTTCCATTAATTTGCAATCGAGTGCTATTCAGATTTATCTAAGAGAAGCAACAAATATTAACCATTTTACAGAAGTGGTGATTTTATAAGATGAACCAAAGTAGCAAATAAAATAAACATTTTTCTAATTAACTAAGTACCATGTGGACAACGTTATATAAATTTTACCAACACATGATATGAAAAATGTAGTAAAATAACTGTATTTTGTTATTCGATCACTAACATAATACAAACCGCACATTTTTTACCCTTAAAGCTTTAACACATCGACAATATCAATAAATAAATATTTATTAATTAGCGTTGAGATTGTAATCAAGGAAAAGATTAAAAATAATGCATATACTGCTCAATGTTCTGACCAATCAAAAAATATTACTACTAAACTTTGATCGTAGTGTTGAACGACCAAACAGAAAAAATCTCTAAAAACTCCGTTCAATGAAATCCAAAGTATTTTGACGTAAAAGCCTTCGATTTTTTTATTTAGCTTTATCAAATAAACTGAAAAAGCCGTTCTTTTATACATATCTCTTAAAGAAGCAAAGCATAAAGACGTTTCAACTAAATATTCCTGGATTTAATACACGTAAGGATTTTATTTAGTTTGTACCGATTTCCGGGGCTTGGCTTGGGTACCCTCACGGAAACCGTTACGAAAACGTCTCCTAACCACTTTAAGGAAACGCATACGACCAGTACCAGTAGTCTTCCTCCTCTTAGCCTTAATAGACCAATTATCTGCAAGAATAATTGAAAAGATTAACAAAAAGCAAAATTCTCCAAATAAAAATATGTCAACAATAAGTCATTTAATGAAATAATATAATATCATTTCATTATAAACATTGTAAAAATTTTGATCTGCCTGCGGGCTTGAGTTGCGAAGCTGTTGTAAAGCCAAAAACATCAAAACACAGACCTTTTATTAATATCAATTCGCACAATTTAGCAAATTTTACTCACACGAACGTAACTTAGCAGCTGGATAACCGCATTGGGCGCAAGTAGATTTCTGGATATGATACGAAGAACGGCCACATCGACGACACAATGTGTGGGTCTTATTATGACGTTTTCCAAAGCTGGACGTACCTTTTGTCTAAATATCAAAAGATACATTCATTTAATTTTTGACAATCCATTTTCAATTAAAGTGCATATATATGATTTGAAATTTCTATCGTAAATGTATTTAGTAATCATATTTGATTTGCAACTTATTCCCATCCAAAATATATAACTCGTTTATAAAATCATAATTCTAGATGGGTAGTCATTTATTATTCCTCACGATTCACGTAACCGATGTTTTCGAAAAAATCAGATTTTAATCACTCCAAAAAACCACAGTCCATACCATTTTGTTTGGAAAGAAAGAAAGAAGAATTAATGAATCAAGCACAGCCGACTTTACGTTGTGTTGATAGAAAAAAAATTCATATAAGTGCAGCCAACTTCACGATAAACTCTACAATAAGTAGGGTTGCCGTTTTCAATAAGAGGTTAATAGTTTAATATTTTTATATCTGGAGAGATTATATATAAAACTTTTTTTGAAATATTCCAAGTTTTTTCAACACAAATTGAATAAATAATTTGCAAAATTTTGGCTATAATCTTTACACACATTCGTCGTTTTAACAATGTTAACTTATCAGTCTCATAAGTATCTCCTTAGTGGCATATTACAATTTGCTTTCAACGTGCATATGTTTAGCGCCTTTATTATCATGAGGATTCTATTTAGCAAATCGAAGTAATTACCATGAGCAGCCAACTTTCAATCCATGCGAATATACGTCGCAGTCTAGTACTTCGAAAATATCAGCCAGCCGTCATCACACTGCTAAATATACATGAATGTATATAGAATCTGTTTTTAGGTAATAAACACATATACAACAAATTTATACATTTGGAACTTAAATTTATGAAAAACCTATGTGCACACGATATGCGCGAAGAGTTACATCCTTATAATGGTTATTATGAGGCAATTATGGTTCCATACAGCAAATTTTTATTTTTGAAAATAATAAATAATAAATAAAATATAATAAAATCATTATTGCCAAAAATAAAATTTTGTAAAACAGCACTTGCTTCATTCATATTTAATTTTCGAAGCTTTTTTTGTAGTCATAGAATTAAGTTTGAAGCATTGCTGTAGCTTAATTTTTCATTTTTATGTTTATACTGCATTGCGAGAGAACATATTGCATTGTTAGTAAAATATTAAGTCCTACTAACTATTCCCTAGTATCTCTAAATAATTTCAGCAACGATTATGGCAATCATTGAGATTGTTAATGTTAACCATCAGGCAGCAGCGTTTTTCTCCAAAAAAAGGGAAGAGTTTCTTAGCGATATTGGACTATACGAAAAAAGAATGTAAAGATTTGGGCTGCACATATTTGTCTATAACTTGTACACGTTAGTGATATTCGGCCAGATAGCAGAAGTAATTAAACAAATTAAGAATATTAATATTAAATCATGATGTTTGCACCAGGAGATGAGGACGACATGGTTGAATGTCCTTACAATAAAGTGCATAGGATGCTGCGAAAACGTTTGGCGAAACATTTAATTAAGTGCCGTGTCAACCATCCCGATGCTGAATTGCAGAAATGTCCGTTTAACAATACTCACTTGGTACCGGAGCCAGAATTTGTTGTAAATATTGAAAATTGAAAAAGATGATATTTTTTGCATAACGTTTAATGAATTAACTTTTAGAATCATGTCACTAATTGCCCAAATCGCAAATTAATTAGTAATTATATATGTGTGCCTGTGGCAAAATTGGAGGAACGGCCTCAGCATAAGCCTGTCGAGACTGATGAAAATTGGGATGATATGGAAGCTGCGGACTATGATCCAAAAAAGTATCTTGAGAACGTTCCTGTGTTGCGAAGACCGGATGGTACGTGTCCCTCGGAGCGAAAGGACTTTGTCAAAAAGGAACGGAAACGTTTAGGGTATGACGATAGTGATACGGATAGCGATCGTCCAAGTTCCTCGCACAAATCTTCTAGATGTGAAGAAAATGATGAGAGGGAGTGTACGCCAACAAATTATCTTGAGAATGTTCGTATGTCACGACAATCGGATGGTACGCGTCTCACTGAACGAAAGGAGGTTATTAAAAAGGAAAGCAAACGTTCAGCTTATGATGATAATGATACTGGCAGCGATCATTCACGTTACCCACGCAGAGTTGTGGAAAATGATGATAGAGAAGATACACCAACAAATTATCTTGAGAACGTTCCAATGTTGCGTCGATCGGGTGGTACATGTCCCTCGGGGCGAAAGGAATTTATTAAAAAGGAACGCAAACGTCCATGCTATAACGACAGTGATACTGATAGCGACCCTCCAAGTTATTCACGCAAGTTGTTTAAACAGGAAGAAAGTGAGGGTTGGAGTGAGAGAGAGCGTACTCCACCGCCACCACCTATTATTAGTAATTGGCCCGGTTCTAACCGGAGCGAAACTGCTTCAACAAGTTCAGCAACGTCCTCTGGAGGATTCTCAACTTCGTTCATTGAACAAACTTCCCCAAGTACGAAATCCTATAGAGAGCGTTCTCCACTACCTCGAGAAATTAATGACGCTCGGTACAAACGAAATAAAGGTTCTTACTACGAACAACGCGATCTGTCGAATTTACCTATCTCTCGTAGTCGGTACTCCAATGGAACATATTGCGCAGAGCCAGCTGTGAATTCTCTTAATTAATATAAATGGAAAAGTCAGTACTGGAGGAGACGCGAAAATAAATTTTTAAGAGCAAAGTTGTCATTTCAATATTATATTTATAGTTCTGTTTTGAAATATAATCGCTAAGATTAAAGATTATTGTGAATCGCATAAAATAGAGGAGATTTTTTTATTTTTTGCCGAGTCTACTCGTATTCTTGATATTCAATTCCTTTCAAGGTTGCGTAGGATATAAATGTTATACCATTCCGTCATGAAGGTTGGTAGCATATGTCTTCACAATTATCTTCATAGCGGAATTATGGATTTTTAATTTTGCAATGCCCAAAAATAATCACATATCCCATAAAGTATGTACTCTCGATTAGCATAATAATTTCTGCTAATATAGATGTGATTGCAGTTTTATGGGATTCATATGAAAAGTTAATATATATATGTTATTTCATGGCTACGAAAAGCCACAACAAAAGTGTTTACATTAAACACAAATTACAACTTCCTGTTAACACAAGATATCGCTCTTAAATTGCATCAAATAAGAGCTAAGTTTAAAACACTATTGGTCGCGAATAGCGCACAATAGATATAAAATTATTGATAAGTAAATAAATAAAGCTGAGTTTATATCAAAACACTTCGTGACTATCAAATTGTACAAAAATAATAGTTACTCTGCTTTATTTTGGGATCGAACGTCTTTCATAGTGCAAAATTTCGCACATAGCCGACATCGCTCCTTTTTTTTTTTTCTAATTTTAACAAACAATTTCGAGAAAGAAGTACGACGCCGTGAAAATAGGTAGAGCTCTGAACAGGTAATCACAAAGCTTTTTAAATAATATTAGATTAAGTTAAAAAAAAACAAATAAATAAATACAATATATATATATATGTACAAAAACGATGGTACATCCGCAGTGGCAACGAATTCTAGCTTTTTGTTTTGTTATGCTTATTCGCATTTTTTTTACAGTACTTAGCCGGCAATTCAACATCATTACAGATTGAGATGATTATAACGAAGGTATTCATATTTTCAAATTCATTTTCATTGGGTTTTATCGTCAATTATTTCAGTTAGAAATTATCAAAATGCTTAATTGCGAGCATGTTGTTTTGGATTTCTCTACTGAACAACAACAGACTAATAGCTTAGTTTATATTGTGGAAAGTCTTAAGGAATGTGATGTCATATCCACTGCCATACAATTGATATATAGCAAACGTTATGCTGAGCTTTCTTCATTACACCGTATAAAACATCAAATAAAGGAAGGGAAAATAATTGTAAAGTTTTCATTGCCTAATTCACAACTTCAAATAAGAGATGTCAACAATTTAAATAGTGAAGATGATAACGAGAGACCGTGCACTTCTACCCAAGCAAGAGAAAGGGAACTACGTCGCAAGCAACGTTGCTTGAGACCGATGAGACAAATTACCCAAATAACAGCAATACGTGATTTTCAATTTGATGGAGCTATTATTGACTACACAGTAAATCAGGGACCTACAAAACGCTGTTCAGTAGCAAAATTTCAAGCCAAATTTTTCAGTTGTGCTGATTTTATATTACCCGATTTAACAAGTTTGAAACTTGAACGATCTTTTAAAGGCAAATGGTTTAATATACTGCGTGGCGATTGCGAAGGAAAAGGGTATGGGACATATGAAAGAGAAATAATTTACACAATTACGGATAAATTTTGCAATTTTTAGAAAGAATTTATTAAAAGATTTTGGTCGAATGTTTGTTTACCGCAATTTTGAGTTAAATGAAATGCTTGCTGGCCTTACCCGTTCTACGCTAATGACAAGCTCAAGCATTAGTTTGAGCAAGATTTCTAGTATTCTTCGCGTTTTTCGCGATGTAAGACGTATTTTTGAATATATTACTTGTTCCGAATACACGGTATTGTTTTTGCTGCCATGCGATTGTGGGCCCTCAAAGGATATCACCAAAATTGCACAAAGGATTAATTTTGAGGAAATGCAAACAACAGTTCAGCTAAGAGTAACGGGTGCTTCTGCAATGCCTCAGATACCTTGGACACAAGCTGAAAGTCATATAAAAGAATTATTACTAATAGCCTTCCAGCTGGCATTCGCTTATCGCTGTCATGAACATTTAGTATTTTTGCATAGCGTAAAAAATGTAAGTAATTTTTACCGAAAAGTGACAACTTTTTTTCGCCCTGCTTAAATTTTAAGAAACGAAAAGTTTTCATTTAAACAACATGTGATTTAACTAACATTATATATATATTAATAATTTGCTTTTCTTTATACCTTATTTCGTATTCAAATCGTTTTCTGTTGGCCTTTTGCTTATTTAATACAAATACTACCTATTATACAAATTATTAGTTTATAATGCAATATGAATGTAAAAAAGAATATATTTATTTATATATATATATATATATACATTCCTTTACAGCTTCAAAGATATCAAAATTTATTAGTATTTAATGGTACTTTAGCACAGAAACAACAACAAAGAAATGAGCAGGTAAGGTGAAAATGTTTCAACAACGGACATAAGCTTAAAATATAAAATTTTTATTCTAGAACTGGTTTTCTAAAAATTATTTACAGCGGATCATCGACGTATGCTTGAAAATTGGCCTTTCAGCTGTAATAGAATACGAGGACAATTTGCCCTTACCCCTTCAGAACGCTGCCATAATCCAATGCAGATGGCAATCGACACCGGCTGTCTGGCTCATCGATATAAAAAAAGGTTCAATCTCAGATTGTAATCCACTTAATCGTTTTGTGGAAGTTCTTAACATTTTATTGAAATAAATTATTTTTTATGTTATATATTAAATAAAATATTATATTTCAACATAAAATGAATGCAAGGTTAAATTAAGTGTTTAATCTACTTTTAATTACATTTGCTCGTTTCTTTAACAAATTCGCGTTTACAAAAGTTTTAAAGTTTATACACAACCACACTTTATAGTACACCTAAAGTGCATAAGAAAATAAATTAGGTCAACGCGTTAAAAAATGGGGGAGGTCGGTGGCGAAAATTACCCTATCGAATTCTTGTAATATTTCTGGGTCTGTAGGTGTAAGTGTGTGTGAAATAGTTGTCTCACCTCACCAGCCAGGATCAAAGGCATCAATCGGACCAACATCAGTTTCTTCGTCTTTGCCCCCTCGATCATTCTGAACGGTCAAATGAGCAATGATTGAGACAACAGGCTCAAGGTCGCAAGCAACCTCCTCATTCACTGGCTTTACGGGAACAAAATCCACAGTGAATCGTTTGCTACTAATACTATGTCGGGAGAAGTGTCGAATTTTACGAGCTGAAATAACTTGAATCGCAAGATCACTTTCTCTCTCCGCTCCTCAAAGAACGATTTCCTAAAATTATAACCACGAAAACTTGTAATTTTTTAACTGCGACCGAAAGTCTATGCTTTCAGAGTCGTTTTTTTTTCACGTTTGCGAAAAATATTGATACCAGGCCTCCTTATGAGCCGTCGTGCAGGCGTGTGCGAACTTTGCGTGGGCAGATTCAATAAGAGGTCGCGAATTTATATTTCCTTATTAACTCGTTCAGCGAATCGATTTCATTAAATTTCTCGATCTCTCTGCCCATTTCGCATCGACGCTTGGCCAAGAAACTTTTAAGATAATCTCTCATGACTGCAAACATATTTTCGGGCTTCACTTTGAGCATATTACAGATGTACATATCGGCTACGATTCCGTCTACCGCGCGCTATATCCGTAAGAAGTTCGTGTAAATCTTCAGGTACAGGTGTAACTTAAGAGCGATGTACAGCATTCTATTTATACATATTTTCTAGACTATTGTTCTCAAAGATTTGTCGAAAACACCACTCGTTTCTTTTGCAATAAAGTCTGTTTATTGTTTGCAATGTTTAATTTTGTCTGTTGCCTAACATTTTTTTTTTTTTTTTAAATGAAAAGTTATAATTTCCAAATGCCAAATAATTATTAAATTCAATCTATTTTTAGGCTAACTTTATAAGTAAAAAATAAAATAAAAGCAATTGCTAATTCAGTTTTCGCATCACAATTTTAAATAAAAAAAAAAGTAAACTTCACAAAAAAAAATGATCGTATAACAAGCTTTTTGCTATGTTCATCACTTTGCGTCACACTTTAATTTAATTTACCTTGTAAACGTAAACGCTCTTCTTGACGGAATTTCTTGCGATCTGATGGTTTCGCACCATTTAAAGAACGTAATATGGGCGCTTCACTTACATATTCACGAGGATTATAAGTATTTACTCGTGGCTCCTCATCCCAATTCTCCGGGCATTGGTATTCAGGCACCGGTGGTGGTTTACCAGCTTTGGTAGGCGCTTTGTCTATGTTACAAAAATTTTCAAATGTCTTACGATCTGGGCAGCTTCTAACATGGAACTATCGGAGATATTGATTTTAATAATGTTGCACGTGCTTTTAATAAAGTTGTCTTTATGAACTTACTTCCAATTCAGGTTTATTTAATATATGAGTGACGTTAAATGGACAAAGAACTTTAGGTACCGCAGCATGATTACGTCGACAACGTCCCAAATGAACTTGCATGCGTGACTCTAATATTTGATGAGCTTTATCGTATGGACATTGTAGTAACTCTTCGGATTCCATTTCGATTAATTACTTATTATCTTTAACAAGCTCTCCAATTTTAACGATAAAGAATTATTATGTGTAATGGAAATTTATTAAATTTTTTCATTAAATTTTAGCAGCAAAATATAAATATTTTGCGTTGTTTGTAATAAAAATTTTGATCTTCTTTACCCTTTCATTTTACGAGCAATATATGAAACGTTGGTAGCACTGGCCGCCATATATAAAATGAGGCAATCAGACAAATGACACATAAATTGGCAATTGATATTATTTAAGGCAAGTTTTTCTTTTTCAAACTATTGGCAGGCCTGAGCAAGGGAAAAAACGCAGCCAACTAAAATAAACAACGTCAGATAAAATAAATTTTGTATTCATTATAAAATGTAAAATGTTTCAGTATACGTCAAATTAGAAAAAAAAAGAAGTTTAAAGAAAACTTTCGACGGAAAATTTATAAAAATACAAAAGCCTTTAAAAAAAAGTTGCGAAATTCGCTAATAACGGAAATAGATCGCTAGCTTGGTAAATCCCGGAGCATTTTATAAAATAAAGGATTTGTAATTGCGGCCTAGCTTTTATGCAAAACTATGCCTTTTTACGGTTTACATGTACCGGTCAAAAATGTTGGCGTAGCTTCTATCGCAGCGGCTCCAAGCAGTGCGACATCTGCATCTGGCAGTGGTGTTATGTCTGACGGCGGTAATGATACCGGTAAGCGTTTAAAAAAGAAAATAAATAACCTTATTTTTTGCGTGTGTCTGCGTTTTTGTTGAGCAGTTATTCGTATGCCTATAGAAGGTTAGAAATTTTCTTTTTCTCTTCGCCGCAACGGTTTCACACGGTTTTTTTTTTTTTTTTTTTTGTGTATTAGTAGTAGCAGTAGTAGTTACAAAGCATTTTCGCCATTAGAGCTAATTTTTATTTACAAAAAAATATGCTAAATCTATGTAATAAAAAGGACGATTCCTCACTATGCGGATTAGGATTTATTTAGCTTTTTATGCTAAATTGTATAAATTTCGAAGTACTTCGTTTGAAGGTCCCATCAATCAAAAGTCATGAAACACCTCGGCGTAGTTAGCTCTTTTCTAGCAAATAGTTGTTTTTTCTATAACCGTTTTACACCATTAATCGAAGTTCTTCATCCGCCATAGCTAAATTTTTCTAAAAACAATGTCTCTTAAGTGTAAACTAACGCTTGACATAACCAGATTTTAAGATGAAAGCAAACTTATTGAATTAAACAGATTAGACCTGTTTATGTATTATTTTTTTTTTTTTTTGGTATGTTGAACAAGGAGATGGACTAAGCCAATAGATTTATGTATTATAGTCATTATTTACAATAAATAATTAAAGAAACTAGAAAAAAATGTCAGTTCTTAATAAAGAAAAGGCAAGGAAGGGACATTCCTTAATATTCGTCACCGCAAAAATATCGATTTGATTCACTTCATGTTTATAGGCATCCACGTTTGCGACGACAACTTCGAGGTTACGTACATTTTTTTCTTCAATGAGCTCATGAGTATATCACTGAGTTTTTGGATGATGGATCTGTTTTATATTCAAATTGAATTTTATATCGACTTCAGCAGTAATATGAAATTTTCTTATTATATGTAAGGTACGCGACATTGGTGAAATTTTTTGTGATACTTTTTATTACAGCCTATGACATTCTGTCAAATTTTTCTGAAATATGATGCCGTTTAAGCGAATATAGGTCGCGAATCTTATTAGTTTTATATAAATAGTGTTTCAGATATCTGAATTCGCATTCCAATTACGAAAAGCGCTAAGCTTTGGAGCATAAAAGAGCAAATATACAAATATATAGATTTCCAAAAGTAAACTATAATATTTGTAAAATTAGAAAATAGATTCGCTTTTTTGATTTTTTTTATTCGCTTAGCTTATAAAATATGTTGCGACTTTTATTGTTCATCATTAGATCTCTGCTGCTTTATAGGACAACTTATATATACATAATGTAGTATTTTTGTTTTCTGACACCAATTGAAAGTTATTTATATTATTTAAAAGCAATTGCGAAGAAACCGAATTAGCCTACACATACATCTTAGCAGCATTTTTATCGCAAAGCCAGTTATTCCCAAATTTCCTATAAAATTACATAAAACTCAACAATATATTTGTCAGTTTTAACCGTTACCTATATCAATGTTCATTTTATTCAATAATATGTATTTTATCACGTGTAGGGGCTAGTAAAGAAGTTTTTTTTTAAATATAGAAAAATTGTTGTTTATAGTTACTTGCTGTCTTGACGCAGTTGGTCCTAGTAATGGTGGGTGCGATCTGACACTTTTTGTGTAGACTTTGATATTTATTCTTACTCTTATTCTTACACATGTTATATATCGTGCGTTTGTATCCAGCCCTAAATATATATATATATATATATATATATTACGCTTGCGTTTACTAATACGCATTGGAAACCCCATTAAGTACAATGAGCATACGATTTATCGTCCCTTTCGCGTCTTTTGTCGGAAAATTAAAACAGAAAGTTAGTTGATGCTGTTTTACTTGATGACAGCGCATCTAATCTCGTAATACCCGCCATTCTACTACAGCCATGTATACAAGAGGTAAAAAGGTAAGCTTTCATTTATGGAATATAAACTGCATTGAAAGAGCATTTCAGTGAAGCGTGAAATTTTGCAATTCTATGCTCTCAAGATACAAAACTTTGAAATTGATTTCATCGGTAGGGAACGTTTCTTAGACAAGCTATAAAAGAGTTTGCAAATTTCAGTACACCAAGCAGCTCGCGTAATAGTACCCTACTTGAAAAATCCAAGCCTATGCATAAATCTAATTTAAAATGCTTATTGCCTGAGGATTGGAAATGAAAAGTGAACACCAAACGCGAAAAAAATGTTTGCTTCATCATCCAATCAGACGATCTGCAAATTCAAATTACCTCCGAAAAATACCAAACTCATGGTTAACGTGAAGACGTTATTCATTCCTATTCGCAACAATTAAGAAATTTGAGCTAAGCTATTGTTGTACAGCGATCATTAAATTTAGTTCAAGTTTACTTTAGTTTCAATTTTATTAATTAATAATAATAATAATAATAATAATAATTAATGACAATATAATTACGCAATAATAACCTCTATTATAATAAAAAATAAAATTGATATGCCAGGATAACTGCAGATTCTCTTTCGGCACAATTGTAAACAACAATGACATGAAGATATCAATAACATAACCATATTGTACAGTATAGAATTAAATCGAAGATGTAGATGTAATTTATAGATTAAAAGAGCCCTCCACAACCACACATTAAACCTACTTGGATAACTTTACAATCTTAACAAAGAATAGTTTTGATGACGTTAAGTACTTATGGTCAGTTTGAATTAAATTCGTTGCCCTTTCAGACTTCATTGAACTGAGTTATATCGTGTAATTACTTTGGTGGTGAAAAATTAAATTTCTGATAATAAGGTACGTTGGAAGACCGAAATCGAATATCCTCAGCGAAAACTGTGATATTCTATCATACCTTCGTTCGTATTGAAGGCATATGCTGTGCATTTATTTACGACGGCCTGTAATTTGTTGTTGGAAATATAATCTAATTTGTACGTCCAGTTAATACGTGCGCACCATATGATAGACTGCGGCAGGACAACGCGTTTACTTGGTCTTGATTTGGTAAAAATTGGAACACCAGATGAATAGAGCCATAATTTGCTGAAAACGCTACGAAAGTGATATGTCTTCATTAGTGTTCATCGGAACGTTTAGTTTCAAGGTTAGGGACTACTACGCGTTGTCTACCATTTAAACATGGTGGTAAGGAACGAAAATCGTAGCCAGCAGATGATGTGACAACGGCTTTAGATTTATTTGAATTTAGCTTGATGTTATTTGATTGTAATTTGAAGATAAGGTCACATGGTATAAAATAAAATTGGGCAAAGGAAAATGTTTAGCAAGCGATTGGCATTACCTTAAAGAAAACATTTTTGATATTCATGGTGCATTGATCAGAAAATTTGCATTATTAACCGTCTTATGCCTAAATGATATAATTTATTAAATTTTCTCATTTTATTGAAATTATTTCAGTTGATTCTCCTTACGTCTTCCGTAAAAAATCTGATGCCTTAGAAGTTTTAAAGAAACACAAGGATGCCCGTTTAAAGGAATTTGTTAGTGAAGATGAGGCCATTAAATATGCCCAAACTGGTTATGAAGTAGTGCAAAATAAATATAACGATAATAAGGGTAAGATCCTAAGTAAGCATTCTCGGAACAAATAATGTTTTCAATTAAACAATAGCTTCTACTATCTCACTGGAAAAGGCTGCCTTTCGACTTCCCACTAAGCACGAGCTTATTGAATTTCGAAAAATAATAGAATCTGGCGATTGTGATCGCGTTAAAAATATTATTTGGGATAATCCTAGGTACCTAGTAAGCTCTGGCGATACGCCAACAACACTGAAAGAAGGTTATCGTTATAATGCCATGCATATATGTGCAATTTCAAAAAAACCTCAAGTAGCTGAACTTATTCTAAAGACTGTATATGACCCAAAATTTGTCGATTTGCTCACTGGTAAAAAGGGCGATCAAAAAATGTGCGAAGAATTGTGCGCAAATCTGTTAGACTATTATTTAAATATGCCGGAGAAAGGACGCAGTGAAACACCATTACATTTAGCCGCGAAATATGGTTGCGTCGAGATGGTGGAAGTGCTAACCTCCTATCCGGAATGTAAGCTGACAAAAAATAGTGAAGATTTACTCCCAAAACAGGTGAAAAACTATATTTAATTGAAATTCATTGTGAAAATTCGTATAATTCGTATAAATGATTTCTTTTCAGATCATTTGCTCGCGGTTGACCAATCCGAATGCAGATGTTCTTAAAAAGATTGAAATGTTATTAGGAGAACGTTTTTATGTTCCCGTGTTGCGATCTAATGATGGATGCATGCCAGCACAAATTGGCCAACCATTTTCTTCAAACAATCCACCAGTAAGTTTTTTTATGTATCCTTTAAAACTAAATAATAATTAAAATTTTAAATAGAAACTTAACTGTGATCCCTTAAGTCCAGAGGTGGAAGTTAAAGCTATTGCTGGTCCAATGAGCAAGGAACAGGCTAATGTAAGCTATCTTTTTGAATTTCATGTAAATTCATGTAAATAGTCTTTCTGAGAATTTTTTTATCATTCTTAGAAATTTTTCCGTCGTTTGAAAACTCCGCCTAGAAATGGTAGCAATATTACTTCACCAATCGCGAGTAATTTCTTTATCTCTCCTATGAAGTCTCGACCAGTTAATAGTACTCCATGCAAAACGCCTAAAAAAAGCATAAACAATAGTCTCGACTCACTCACTGCCTCCGTAAAGGGACGTTCACTCTTTAACGTTAGTGACTACAATGGATGTGATAAATCATTTTCTTTAGAAGATTCATTAGATTATCAGAAAGAAACTGGCGGTAAAATGAATATACTGCAGAGCACAGAAGATAAAGAGACAAATGTAAATTTCGCAGTTACTGGTGAAGCAAATAACAATCGCAAGAATCTCATGGGTGAAGATAATCAAGATAATGCATACAAATCTTTATATCCGGGAACGCCACTGCTTCAAAAAAGAAAATCCGCTTTCTTCAGTTATCGCGAACCATACGTCGCTTCTCCTGTAGTGCAGGAATTAAATAATACACAGCAAAATAATTCTTTTATGATGAACGTTTCGGATGTATACAATACCCCTGGCTTTAAAGAGCGTCACATAAAAAATACGGATACTGAGAAAGGCATAGAATGTATAGGCCGAGAATTGGCCAAAGAGCAGAATATTGAGTGGCGCGAATACTGGGATTTCTTAGAGGAATTTGTTGACATAGCTGGGCCAATAGGCTTGCAAAAATTGGAAAACTACTTGTGTCAACGTCAAAGAAACGAGGATATGAGTAGAAGAAAAACCGTCAACAATACTGTGGTACTTGATGAAGTTACTAATGCTTTAGAGAAGTGCGGCTTTGCCTCCGGCAATGTCAATAAGGATGATCGCTTTGACAAAACTGATTATGAAAATGAATTGAGAGGCACTAAAGTTGAGAGCCCCATGGTTTCTAATCCTTCGACGAACCATCAAATGTTTACGCCTTATACATACGTGGAGAAGTCTTTGCAGGTGCATGCTAGACGAATGACGAAGACAATCATGCATAACATGGATAATGTTGTGTCTATAAACGATGCTTTGCTTTTGGAGTTAAAACGTGTAAAGTCGTTGATTTATAGTTTTAAAGAAGACCTCAGTTTTTTGAATGTTAATTTTGAAAAAGTACATTCGCGCATCGGCAACTTAGTGTCAATTTTCTTGCAGAATTCTCAAGAAGTTACTGAAGACGTGAAAAACAAGGTATTGGCCAGAAATATGCAGCAAAACAATTTATTAAGTTCGGTATTCATTTTTAGATATTAACTATTTTGCAAAGTTTGCTGCAAACAAATGGGGAGCGCCGTGAGCATATGGACTGCGTATGTGCTCGGGTTAAATATATGCTGGAAATTAAAGGTGAATTGAATTTCTTTTGTTTTTCTTTCTATTTCTAACATGATGTCGATTATTTTCATCATAATGCATGACAATAATTCTATACACGGAAACGCTTTCCCCCATAAGATATTTATATATTACTCGATGTAGTTCCACCTACCTGTTCGTCCGTAATTCTTGCTTCGAATTTTTCTAGTCTCAAAAGTCCATACAGAAAGTTGAAGCTTAACATATTGATTCCATTTCAAAAATCATTTTGGAGAATGGAATCCATCCTCTCTTTTACGACTAATTTTAGATATTACTTTAGCAATTTTTCGATTGTCTGTACGCTGGCAAGAGTCCTTTTCTCCCTCAATATTTATAGCGAACATTGTGATAACATTTCAAATGTCCAAATGTTACTAGTGTAAAGTTATACAGATTATAAATATGTATATTGCTATATGCTATATAAACAGCTTATACTAATCTACCTACATTTTGAAGTCGAATCCTAACTTAATCAATATTCTCGTCAAGATTAGTTATTTATTCTTCACCTATTTTCAATTACTAAAAATTAGGCTTCGTTACGAAATAAAGAGCCATTTTTCAGGACACTCCTTATACGCTCTGTGGCCCAAGAAAGAAATAGTCCTGTGTACTCTACACCACTAATTTTTCATAAGAACCTTTGTATGGGGTGGAACACAAGAATTTGCCTAATTTCAATATTTTATGACATAGATTGGTCCATAGTTGCAATTCAACATAAACGTAAATAAAAACGATAAGAAATAATGCAAGAGACAGACAAACTTAAATCGATCCATAAAATGTGAGCTTATTCTCGGTCCTTTTGGCCGTAATATGAATTCGGATAAACTTAAAGTACATCGCATGTGTTGGTAGGGCAAGAAAACGTAAATAAAGGACAAATAGGTATTTCCACGGCAAGTATTCCGAAAAGATAAAAATGTATCGTTTTTTAATATAACTATTCGGCTTTTTCAACTCAATTCGTCTAAAGTAAGTTCTCTGCTTAGAACACTTCTTGAAAACGGGTCATCAATTACCCATTTTTGTTAGCAACTTTATGTGTGGGTACCTTTGTGCCGATCGCCCTTATGACAAAGACAACTCAAGCATTGCAAGTGTTTATTTGCTTCTACCGCTTTACCAATCTTTTTGGCAAATTTCATTTTTTACAAAATGAGGTAGTTTTTCATACGAACTTTTATTTTAGGTTTTTTAAATGATATTTATTGCTTTCATTTTTATTTCTAGTGGAACAAATTTTACCGGAACACTTAAAAACCGAAGAAATGTGCTCGAATATTTGGTCTCAAGAAAAGGATTGTGACTGCCATTGGGAAAGTAATTTAAGTCGTAAGACAAGTCGTCGCAATCGTATGGAGGCACGTTTTAAAAATCATCAACGTCTCAAGCAATATGAAGCGAACAAACAACAGCAGCAACTACCATTAAAACAAAGCTCTGACCATTGGCGCAATGTACAATCAAGTAACGATTCTTCGGATGATATGGACGAAGAAGTTTTTTGGGTTAGAGTTTAACTCATTTTAATTACTTTTCTCCTCCAGTAATTAATAACTATTAATTCCCATTTTAGTCTGACGTTGGTTCTGATGTAGATTTTGACAAAGAAAATCAAGAAAGTTGGCATACTCCTCCTGAAAGTCCATCGCATATTGATATGTCTGACGTTGAAATTAAAGAAGCTGAGCATAAGATTTTCATTTACGGGTATTTAAACATTTAAATAATTTCATGTATTAACTCGTGCGATGCGGCAAATATTATAATGCACACCATTATACCCTAAGTTGACGTACGTTGAAAATGACATATAGAAATGAGCATCGGGAACTTTATGAACTGTACATATCGGATTAATAGACATTGCGGAATCGATGTTGATATAACGTGTTTATAAATTCAAAACGGGTTTCAGTTTTTCTTTTCCTGTCTGTCCAAAAAAAAAAAAAGAAAAGGCCGAACTACTTTCTTAAGGCCTAAGGATGAGCCTAAAACACCACCTAGAACGCTACTTTTTATTTTTCTTTTATTTTCCAAAGTAAGTTCGCACATTGACAAAACTGAATGAAGCCTAGTCAACAAATGTCAAAAAAAAAAAAATAAAAAAAACAGGTAACAAAAAAAGTGTTAAATGTAACCTCAGTTTTCTTTGAAATATGCGATCTTCATAGTCAAATATCGTTCATTCATTATTTACAAGGTTATAAAGTCTATAGGATTGTAGTCTCGACATATGAAAAATCTTGAATTAAATAGTAGTAAATACAGGACGCAAACCGCCGAGTATTCATTCACTCAATGTTATTATTATCATTATTATTTTTTTTGCCCTTCACCTGAATTTAGATTTGTATACATCTGTGTTTTTGTTTTAGTAATGAACCTACGAAACCTGATATGGATGTTTTGAATGCCATTCTTCGTATCGATGTCGATAAATCGAAGTACCCAAATGTTCATTCCTGGAAAACCGCTTTGATGCGTTATCCTAATGACGAAATGGATTTGTAAGTTTTTTTTTTTTTATTTTACTAATCGACTTTGAATTTGATGTTGTCATTTTTGTTTGCTTAGCTTTGCGTCACCTCGTATTGTGAAGAAGTCTCATTCGTTTGTGAATCAAACTTCGTATAAAAACGAGAATACATTGGAGACACCGCCATCACGTCAACGAAGTCAGTACGCATTAGTACGTTCACAGACCAGCCCTCTGGCCGTTAATTCATTAAAGTCTTCAACCGATGCTATTAAAGAATCAAACTTACAACTGCCCACAAAACGTTTATTCATGTCACCAAAAATCATAACTGCCGCATCAACCGTCGATAATGCTTTGAATATAATAACCACAAAAAACGCAATGAATTCCATTAGAGATACGATTACAACAGTCACCACTAAGATTGCAAATGAGACCATGACCACCGGTTTACTAACTGTTAATACTGCTGCTTCTCAGCCGTCGAGACCGCTAACGCCCATAAATAAATTACGAGGACTTTTTAGCGCCTATCGCGAACGTTTGTCAACTTCTCCTTTATCAACTCCCCTGACAGAGAAGTCAACTTCCATCATAGATAATATGAATTGTGCCAGAGAAAAGAACAGCAACGATGAGTCTGGCACTCCTAATCTCTCCCGAATGAATAGGTCGGACATGAATGCTTGTGAATGAGCCGGAAAACTATTATTTATGTTGGTTTTTGTTTTCAGATGAATTGCCTTTTATTTTATTGTTCGTTTTCTTCTCTTATATAATCATTTCTTTTAAAACTCTTTCACTACAATTATTTATTGCAGTCGTAATGTTTTGAAAAAAATTTCGAATACATAATTTTCCTTTCCCCTTACCAAACGCATTCAACTATCGCATTCTTTAGTATTATTACAAAATTAAATATACAATAACACGTTCTTGTAATTGTCTCGTATTAATTAATGTTTGGAAGAACACTACATTAAATTGATTTTTTTTTTTCGTTTCGCAGCGATTAAAATTATTATATAAACCTTTCGTTTTTTTTTTTTTTTTTTTTTTTTTTTTTACGACTTTTTACCCTCAACCAGCAGACGTCAAGTGCATTAAATTGCGCAAAAGTTGAGGTTTTTTAATTGCATTGTAAAGCTCTTGCGAATATCGTAATTAAATGTATTATTTGTCCTAAATATATAATAAAATTTTTTGTAAACATTTTAAACACTTTTTTTTTTTTTAGAGAAAAATTCTAACAAGACGTGATCTTGAGTTGAAATAATGCATCTCCTTGGCGCAATCAATAGATTTGTCGAAAAGCGAAAAACAGGGAAATTCGTTGTTGCATTCCATCTGGTCGATGTTAATATTTGTTCGCTTGATTGGAGAGTGTGTAATAGGTTTCTTTCTTATTAATCCGGTTGTAGGATATCATTTTCTGAGTTATGGCGGAGTTTTTTCACACTCTCTGCTGTTTGGCGTTGAAAGCAATATTTCTTATTGTAAAAAATTGCAGCAAAATAATTACATTTTGATATCTATTTATCCAATGGCGGTACGCAAGACTTAGTGATAAATAAATGCTAATCTCTCGTACGCGAATAGAGCTAAAAATATAAGCATATTACATTTACTATATAAAATATGAAAATTTTAATGAAAAATTGACACCACTAGCTAGGCTCACTTCCGATTTTTTCGTAGCGTTCATTTGATTGGTTTTGTAAACGACTTGTATATTGTACCTTAATATGAATCTCTTCTTCACCTCTCTTTGCAAACTATGAAAAAATATTGTGTGAAAAATTTGAAACAAAATTTCCTGCTTTTTGTGCATGTAACAGCTGCCATTCAATAGTATGCCCCACACTATTTATAATTAACGGACAAATCCTTCCATTACTTTCTGTAAAACTATTCAGCTTTATGGTCACGAACGGGTTGCTTAATAAACCAAATTTGTCCATTTTACATTACATGCCTAATAGATAAGGAGAGCGACTGCCAAGTCAGTGCTTTAATTACGATTGGCGTGCGATTGCAATTATAGTGAATGCTCGATCGGGAAAGATGTAACAAATATCGCTATACCCTATACCTTACTCTTTTCATACCACTAATCATTTCTTAATCATTACCGTGACTATAGGTATATATGGGAGGCAAACAAGGTCCCTGAGGGATTGATTACATTTCTGTTGTTTACATGGTCTTCAATTCTTAATTTTTCATTGTAATTATCTGTAATATCATATCGTCCACACGTAGTATGGATAGGTACATAACAGCTGGTTTGCTAACCGATTTGGTAGCTGTGATCAAGTTAACATTGCTAGGTCGTCGTGTCGCCCCTTTTACGGGTCTTTTATTTTATCCTAATCTTTGCTTTTTTTTTTTTTTGTCTAATCTAATTTCACGCAAACTTTGGATCTTAAAGGCAGTAAAGTAATGCGTATGTGCTTCTGGAATTTTTTATCTCTGAGCCTGCACAGATTTGATTCATGTGTGACGGACGTCAGCAACGCGTCGCCGAAATCTCAACTGTATAATCCAGTGATCAAATCATGTAGACACACACATATGTGCATAATACATATATATATATATATATATATATAAATTAAACAAATTTTTATTCATATATAAAAAAAAAAAAAAAGTCAAAGCGTCTATCGTCCGCTGAATTTTAAATTCTTTTAATATTTATCAAAATTCATACAATCAATTAACTGATAATTTCCTTTTTTTCCTCTTTAATGACGCTTTTAAAGTAGAACAGGCTCTGACTGTTCCACTGTTGATTGTGGCAAGTTTGAACGATAGTCGTCTTGCGTGTTGTTCGTATCTATGCTAGTTTTAGACGAAAGATGACTGCTAATAGAAAGTCGACTACGTCGCTTACGCATCGAGTCCACGGATTGTGTGCGTTTTTTCATCGAGATCTCTTCATCGTTAATTGCCCGACAAATTTCAATGAACGCACAAAGCTCAGGACTCTTTAAACGCATGCAAAGAGCAAAAGCCTCATCCAATGCCTCTTTTCCCCGTTCGATTTTGTGTAGGACTGCATGTGCCTTAACAATCAACATAGTGCTAAGAAATTGCCATAAAACGCTATTGCAATTTTTAGCTTCTGTGTATTAAAAAAGAGAAGAGAATTAGGATACGATTAGCAGAGCCCGTATTTATTTAAGAAAATTTTTTGCCATTATACATACCCTCCACTGCTTTTCTAGCTACTGAGCAGCATTCATCAAAGCGACTTTGACCCAAATGAGCTCGAGCAATTTCATGTAATAAATAGCATTTCTCTATGGAATATTTGGCAAAACGCATACGTTTCTCTAAACGAGCTAGAAATTTTCTGAAATTCCAAGATTATCGATATTTATTTAAGGGAAGGTGCATATTTTTAGTATTAATTTTACTTGTAAGATATAAGGGCATAATCGGGGGCATCTGGTTCCTGATATGTAGATTTGTCGCCGAACACAAATTGTACAACGTCTTTATATTTGTCGGTAGGCATGCGCAACAGCAACAACATACGCTCTTTTTCGCGCGATTGTATTATATCATCAGGTATAGTGTAACGATCGGCGTGTGCCAAAGCCAAAGTGTTATACACTTCATTAATATATTCGAATTTCCAAGGCATGACGCGGTGAGTTTTCAACACAACATAATCACCCATAACTTCTTCCACGTACTTCGAAAGTTTCTAAATAAGTAAAAGAGACAACACAATTGGATTGAGAGAGACAAAGGGCATACATAGCCCATAGCGATATAGCGGAGAGATCATATGAGTGAATAAAGCTTAAGACTACTGCGTATTTTAACAAAATATTTGTCATAAATTTTAAATGTTTGCAGTGTCGTAACTCGAATATTATGAGAGTGACATTCGGAAACGTCCTTCTTCTTCTTCCTCTTCTTCTCCTTCTTTTTAGTATAATATTAAGATACATATTTATTTACCTCCAATTCTCCTTCCTCGCGCAGTTTACGTATGGCACGCATTTGTGATAGCATTGTTCGTCGTGTCTGATACTGGACGCGATTTAAATGCGCTTCACGATGTTTATCCCAAATTGCCTTATCCGGGCATTTGCGTGACTGTTCCGTATATAAAGGACTACGCGCTTGTAACATTTTCTAAATATTAAAATTTTCTTTCAAATATCATTCGCGTATCATATTTAATCGCATAAAAATAATAATTACCAGAAATTTGCGAACAACATCGTATTTCGTATGAGTAAGTTGTCTTAAAAAGGGCGTCGACACTTTCGATTGAGGCAGCAATAAATTTTTATTCTCGCGCAAATGTTTCAAAAAGATAACGTCAATCCAACTCTTATTGAAATAAATTTGATTGAAGACTTTAAAAGCACGACGACGACGGGCCAATTCACGGGGTGATAGCAAAATTTCCTAAATCCGTTCAAAAATAAAAAAAAAATTATTATGTATTTTAAAACAAAATTAATAAATTTATTTTTATCAACGCGCGAACCTCTTTTTCTAAAATGCTCATAACATCGCATTTTCCCTGCTCTTTTAGAATTTTCCATAGCGGACGATCATCGACATTTTTTTCACGTTCAATTTCATCAAGAACAGCAGCGAAATGTTTCTCATTTTTCAATATGAATGGACCAAGAGTCTCACCAATCGAGTCTTTAAAATTCTCATCGACCTTTTCGAATGAATATTAAAATGAATGAATAAATAAATGAATCGGTCTCATGAAATTGAAATTCGTTTTTTCATCCTACGTACCACTATCAGACGATTAAGAAATGCGGCCACTTTTTTGCCAAAAAATTTACGCGTATTATCATGCAGTTCTACTTTACAATTCTCGAATTGATTTAATTCATAGAGAGCATCACATATTTCCAAATTGATGGGTGCATTATTTTCATCGATTGCTATCCGTACGAATATGAAAAAGAATTTCATCATCATTTCCTTATAAGATGTATGCATTAAAATTTCACTTTTTTTTTTTAGATTACCTGATGCTGCTTTACTATCTTCTAAAGCCCCTTCAGTTTGGGCAATGTTACGCTTACATCGACTTCTAAAATATAGAGCCTTATGGTCGAAATTCTTTAAATCTAACGACTTGTTATAATAATGTACGGCAATATCCAATTGTTGTTTGTGCGTATAGAATAGACCCCAATCTCGATAGATAATTTGCTGATGCTCGGGACTCCATGCTATGCGTTCCCAAGGCTTTAAAGCCGCCTGCATTTTTAATACTTTTTTCCTCTGCGCACTTAAAATCGATTAAAGGAAATCTTCTCTAAACCAAGTTTTTATACGAAAAAAAAAAAAAAAGAATTCCTTAGCAAATATTTTTATAAAAAAGAAATGAATCTAAACTTTCGAAAAAAAAATTTGAAATAATTTTTCTTGGCCTTTCCAAATTGATTATGTTAACTTCAATGCACACTGAAACGTTTCGAAATTTATTCGTATCGGCAGACCTAGGGCTTGATAAGAAAAAACAGCAAAAGTAGTTATACTCAAATAAGATTTCTTCTTAAGGTCTTCTTTCGGTACTTCAAGCAACAGTAGACGGCAGCGTTTAATCCGTAGTATATGAGGACATCAATCTTGTACCTGCATAAATGATCCTTTTTGTGTATGTATACATAGGCATTCATATACCCTATCGAAAATTTAACCGATCTACGATTATATTGAAAATCAGCGACTGCTCTTTCTGGATTCGTTTGTTGAAAGAGAAAGTAAAGTAGAAGACAGCGCTTAGAGCGTTTATGTCGAAATTGATGGCCATTAGTGACCTTCTTAATACTAGATATATGGATATCCATCAATTTGACAAGTAGAATTTTTGAATCGTCACAGTCGCAAAAATAACGATAGGGAGATGAAATTTAGCGCAATTGTTCCTTGATCGATTAAGAATATGATATTAGAAAATGGGTATGGTCTGTTCAAAGATACGCTTATAATGCACAAGACTCTCAATGTGAAAGAGACTAAAGCACTGGCACTTCTTCATACTTCCCATCGGTTTACTAACCCGTCTACAATTAACGATAAGATCCGACCC